CTTATCGCGCAATATATTATATCGTTGATTTGGATATTGATATTTGACTATGTTTTGTGTAACCGTGACAAACTTTCGGAGGCAACTGTACGCACGTACGTACGTACATGCATATGTACTATACAATTCTGTAGTCCTTATAATTTATGCTAGTACAAATCATGTTAACCATATACAAGTTCTAAATACTAGAAATAATCAACAAAAAAGATTAAGATATTATATGTAAAATTTAACTTAAAATTTTTTTTGTATACTGTTTAAAAAGCTATTATTTATTAAATAACAGGCCAAGTATTCAAATTTGTATGCTACAATTTTAAAAGAAACTTAAACTCTAAAAAAATTTTTTTAGTAAAATCTCTATTTTAATTAGTTATAAAAGCTTTCAAAAAATCAAGTCACACAGTATACTTCATGGTTGCAGTATAAAGTATTTTATATTATCTAAACAAAAAAACAAAGTTTCATATGATAACCATGAAGTATAATTTTGATCCAAAACTTTGAGCTACTATATCTCTGTAATATTAGCTCAAAACCAATTATGTAAAGTTGGGTATGAATAATCTTTAATGTTGTATTATAAAAAGAATCTCTATATAATGATTATAAAGAATCTTTATAAGTTCACATGAATGTTCCTTTTTAACCATTTAAAATTTTGGTCTGCTCATCTTTACTGTATATGGGGGTTCGCTAAAACCTTGTACCCACGTGACTTTTCTATATAGATCACCAATCAAAATCATGAGATTTTGTTTACACGGATCAGCCCGAAGAAATCAAAAAATCAAAAAAACGAAAAAAATATGAAAAACGGCAATCTAAACCTGTCTTGGTATATTAATAAAAAATGTCGGGAAGGGAATTTTACCTATAAACCTGCCCTTACCTTAACAATAAACTAACCATAACCCTAATTACAATTAAAACTTCGAAAGTCACGGGGGTACAAGGCTTTAGCGATCCCCTTTTGTGGGTATTGCAAGGAAATTTTTTATGGCGATCGCTGCATAACTGCAACACCAGAAATGGTTAATAAAAATTTTGTATAAACAAATAATAAACATATAAAACTTCTAACTAAAAATTCATTTTGCGAATCTTTTTATTGAACGCATATCTATTCAAAAATCAAATAAAAAAAAATTTTCGAAAATTTGTAAAAAGGGCTGTTTTAATACGTAATACCACATATAATAAGTCATAATTTTTAAATTTTAATTTTTTATAGCATTTAGATTATTATAGTTTTGGGCCATTATGCTAAAGGGAAGATGTGTGAAAATCCAGAAATAAATAAATTTATTAGAGAAAATGATGGTCTAAAATGGATACCATACGAACAATTATCCAATATTGAATATCTTGCTCATGGAGGGTTTGGTGTGGTATCTAAAGCCAGATGGAATTCTTTAGATGTTGTTTTAAAGTGCTTAAATAATTCCAAAAATTTGACGGCTGATGTCTTACAAGAGATCACTAATTATCGGTTGTTTGATCATAGTATACAAATTATTTATGTTAGTCAATGTTATGGAGTTTCTCAAGATCCTACAACAGGCAATTGCCTAATAGTAATGCACTATTTTAAAGGTGGTAACTTAAGACAATATCTAGATAATAATTATAATCAATTATCTTTTGGAGATAAACTTGGACTGTTATACACAATGGCAAATGGACTATACCACATTCATTCTCAAGGACTAATTCACAGAGATTTTCATTCGGGTAATATATTAAATAGATTTAGTTATGAATTGTGTTTTAAAAGTCAACAATACAACAAAACAATTCAAAATATCGGCTGCTATATTACTGATTTGGGATTATGTAAACCAATTGATGAAGCAAATGGTGATAAAACAATTTATGGAGTGCTGCCTTACGTGGCACCTGAAATTTTAAGAGGAAAACAATATACACAAGCTTCTGTTATATATTCATTTGGAATAGTTGCATACGAAATATTTTCCGGATTGCCTCCTTATTACAACGTTCCTCATGATACTTCCTTGACTATAAATATATGTAACGGACTTCGTCCTAATTCAGATATTATTAACGTACCTCAGTTATTAAAGGAATTAATTATCAAGTGTTGGGATATCAACCCTCTAGTCCGTCCAACAGCTTCAGAGTTATTTGATCTTCTTGGGAAATGGTATTGTGATCAGGATGAAGAATTTTGTTGTCAATATAAACAGATAGAAGGTACAAAAAAATCATTAACATTAGAAACATACCAGGTACATCCGCAAGCCATTTATACGAGTCGACTACTTAATTTAAATTTAAATGAAAATCATTATGTTTCCGACAAATTGAACGAACTTCACATTGAAGATAGTTAGTGTAGCAAGACTAATATTGAATAATATCCTGGACATGTCTTTAAAATGAGGAGAAAATTTTAGAAGAATAAAATAGTATAATTTTATTGCTCTTATTGTATAAAAAACATGAGAACATTATGTTTAGTGTTAATTTTTTTTAGAAATTTTTACCAAATTAGCACTTAGAAAAACTTAATTATATACTAAATATATATACACAGTTACTGTGACAGATTAAAATGAAATCAGATTAAAACGAAATTTTTTATTTTTTAAGAACAATTTAAAATTTTTTGGTGACATTTTGGGGTTCTTTTTAGCATTAGGGGTAGGATTTAGGGTTAGATTATTAAGAAAGAGTATATGTGGGTTTTATAAGCCATATCGGCGAATTTGCGGAATTTGGCTCTGATAGAAAACCCAAATTTTAATATACTATTCACAAAATGAACCCCAAATTTTAGTAACTAAAAATTATACGTATAATATATATCAATAATTACAATATAATATTAGAGTAAATAACATATCAAATATATTGAAATTGTTATTTCCGAATACATTAAAAAAAAGAACAAATTTATAGTTATTATATGCACATATCAATATCTTGAAATTATTACTCCTGAATATATTATTTATATATATCAATATATTAAAATTGGTACTCCCGAATATATTATATAAACATATCAATATAATGCAATTGTTACTTTCAAATACATTAAAAAAAAATCAAATTTATAGTTATTATATATGTATATAGTATTTATTTATTATAAATGTATAGTACATATATAATATTTATTTATAATTCTGTAATTAATTTATTATTGTTCTAAAATATAATACTAATCAATTAATATGCAACTAGAATTAAAAGTTAAAAAAATATCAATTATCATCATGCTAATATTCATTGTGTAATATAAAAGCACATTATTGTGCTAATATTCATTGTTGAATATAAAAATAATTTTCTAATCATTGCACGCTAATATCCATTGTTTAATAGGAAAGTGTATTTATAATAAACATTGTGCTAACATCAATTGTTTAAATATAAAAATATTTCCAATTATCATTACATTAACATTTATTTGTTGTTTAAATATAGAAATATATATATATATATTTAGAAAATGAATTCTAAATTGATTAAAAAATGGAGTTAACCAAAGTGGCTCCTGAAGCAGGGCTAAAATGAAATATAGTATATGGCGGTCATTTTCTGTGTCACTGCCTATTGCTTGAAGTATCATTTTTGATACATCAAAATTATTAATATAACTTGAGGATGCAGATGTGGGTGGCTTCGCCGCCCAGTTGAGGCTGTTATATATTATTTCTTAAAAGAAACAATATATAATAGTTAATAAGATTATATTGGTATATTTAAATACATTTAAAAAATTTTAAGTAAGATCTTATAGTAGGATTCAATGACCTAAAATATATAGTATAAAGTGTGTTTTAGATATTATATCAGTACTGGTGCTAGAGACACCAGAAATTGCAACTTGAAATGCATTTTGGTGTGATGTGATAAACTTAAATTGTGTGATAATTATGTAAGGAACCTTATGCATATTTTTATTGTTATAAAATGACGTTATCACTATATTATATGATAATTATGAATTAAAGATATTTTAACAAAAAAATACAGCATTAGAAAAAATACTGTGTCAAAAGAAAAATACTGCTAAAAAAAAATACAGCACTAGAAAAAAAACAAATGCTTATTAGGAAAAAAAATAAAGTGCCAAGAAAAAAAATGCAGCACCAGGAAAAAAAATATTTATCTTGTAAATTTAAGAGTTCTATTAAAATAAAAAAAGTTTAACATTGATAAAGAATTTTGCGAAAGATTATGCTGCTTATCACTTAAAATATTCTTATAGTTGCTAAAACTTCATTTCACATCAACGCCAGAAATAGGTAACCAAATATAAAATAAAGTGACTTTTGAAAGATAAGGTAAATCGTTAGATTTTTTTTTCCAGTATTTATCCAAGTTTAAGCTTTTATCTAATTCTTCATCTAATTTACAATAAATATTCCATTCATTTAATAAATCATCATTTAAAATTTTAAATTCCTTGGGAGTATATTGCATCCAGACTTTACAAAATTCTCAGAGGAAGAAACCTTTATGGTTTACAACTCTTGAGGATCTTGTAACTAATCATGAACTTTATAGAACACTTGATAACCACTATGA